TGCTATGAGAGAAGAGCATTAAGCTCATTCTGTGACCTTTCTGCTGGCCATCAATTGTAATACAAATGAGCATTAGTAATATGCACAGTATGGGAAGCAGAAATAGCAGGCAAGTCTGTCCTCTGGTTTTGACAGAACAAATTGACAGTTTTCACTTCATTTCTCCCCTGAATTATGTTCCCTGAGCCAGAGAACTTTAAAATGTGCTTTTCTCTTTCCTTCTGTAATGAGAAAATGAAATTTTAAGGTTGTGGGATGTGCAGGGCTCTCCAGGGGCTGCAGTAGTGTTGCCATTACACCATCACCAGGGTTTGGTCTTTGCTTTAAATATATGTTCTTCGTTTTTCATGATGATTCTGTTGGTCTGCAGCATTTCCTCCTTCGTATTTTTCATATGAGAAAATTAAGCATCAGGCAGGTAAAAAAAACTTGCCCCAAATAAGATGCAACTTGTAAGTGGAAGAATTGGATAAGAAATCAAGGATTATACAACTTCTAGACCTGCGCTCTTTCCCCCTCCCCCCTCTTGTTAATTTTTAATCGATAATGTGTGGACAAGAAAAAAATTCATAAGATACAGGTGCAGAAAATTAAGTTTCTCTCCCATCCCAGTTGCTGCTTTCTCTTCCCTAGAGGCAACCACTGTGAACCAATTCTCAAGCACTTAATTTTATACTCTGCTGCTCTCTTTTAAGTAGAGAAGAACACACAGAGTCAAAAGTGGCAGTAGCAGCAGTTTCCCACTTGGGCAGGGTCTCTATCAGGAGCATCAAAGGTGCTTTTTCAAAGTGCACATTCATTTTGCTCTTGTGGTTTTGGGTAAGACCCCCTAAGAGAATTTCGGTCTCTTCCTTGCCCCATTGCATTGAGAGTACTGTGCCTGTATTGCTAAAATGCATAATGCACTTTCACGGATATAGACACTACTTCTTTAAGACAGATGAAGGAGGCATATTGGGAGGATGGTATTTGAACTATACTCAAGAACGGATTTGGAGAAACAAGTGCAGTGATATTGCAGGTGGAAGAAATACTATGAGCAGAGGTGGGAGAGTGTCAAGTACAGTGTTAGATCAGGTGTAAAAAACTCCCATATCCTGTGGGCCAAGAAGATAGCATAAACAATATCTAAAATGATAACTGCCAACTGACCTGTGACCTTGGGTTTAGGGTTCTGAGAGAACTCTCATTATCCTGTACCACAGAGTACATACTACATATTTTTTTGAACATTCAGAATTAACATTTTAGAAGGAGTGAGAAAAACAAATACTGTATAAATGAAGCTCTAATGGCTTAGTTGATTGTCTTGCATAACCTCTGAGTGAGCACAATTAGCTTTGTGGCCATTATGCTTGTGGCTCATCATTACTTTAAACATTTAGCTTCATTCTTGGGAAGTTGCATTTTGTTTATGGTAAATTTAGTAACCGCCTAGTCTTTAAACATTAGTTACTCCCTAATCATTAAACACAAATGGCTATTTAATATTTTCACTCTGGGAGTATGTGTGTGGCAAGAACCCGCCATGGGGTGTGTTCTTATTTTGAGTTCAACTTTTTTGGAAGTCCTCCCCCATCCAACTGACACATCTTTGGAGCATTTCTTTCCAGAAGTTTTTCCTCCCCCTGAAGCCATAGCACTTATATTCCCACATGAGCATTTTGATATCTTATTTTAGGATCCTAAAAGCAGAGCTTTTAGAGAAATGAATGGGATGCCATTTGTTTCATGACGGGTCTCTTTACTCCTGGGTTGAAGGCCTCTAGCTTTCTTGATCTTGGTTGACCTTCCTCATCTCAACAGTGACAGTAAATCACACAATGGTCACACTTTTTGGATGCATTTCCTTCCATCCTTTACCTGTCATATTAGGATCATGAAAATCCTGCTGCTCATTAGCTTTGTCAGTTTCCATAGGACCCCTCACGAAGCACATTGAATAAACATCAAGAAGCATGACATGGGTGTGTGTGAAGGTATCAATCATCTGTTGCACCCACTCCTGTCATTTCAGCACTTTCCCCTCTCAAAGAACTCAGAATACCAAAGGGGTGGACAACTGAAAGAGACAGATGAAATGGTTGATTTGTTTAGTTGCTAAGTGCAGCTGGGACAGGTAATTAAACAGTCCCGCTCCCGCGGAGAAGCCTGCAGCAATGTAACATGATGTCTCAGAAACCCAGCTGCACTCAAATTTAGATTCAGAACTAATATTAGGTAGGCCTCCTTCAGATTGACAGATCTCATAAACATCATTTCTGGTTTATTTGTTCAGCATGGTTGAAGATGAAGCCTTTGTGCTTTGTTTGTGGTTTAAGTTTTCTAGGGAGCATGTGGTGTTCACAGATATCTGCAGGAGTGGCCTAGAAGGGCACAGCCCCATATCCAGAGGGTAAGGGATGCCAGGAGTGAGCCTCTGTCAGTCCTCGGTGCCCCAGCTCTTTCCTGACTTCATATGTTCTATTGGAGGTGTAGATGGGGTAGATGGGGTTAGCCATATGACTAGATGAGGATGAGTTGGAGGGGTAGGTTGGGTGGGGAATACTGGAAGGGGAGACTGGAACCACTTCCCTCCTTATCTTTTTTAATTTTGATGTAGCATATTGTTCTGTAGTAGCCAAGGTGTCTCTATAACTACAGCATGTCTTTGTCGTAATTTGGGCACTTATTTCCATGGAGAGATTGTCACCACCATCTGTTCATTTATTCACATAAAAAATTTAGTAATTATCTTTTTCACTCACCTCCTATAAGCAACCCCCCCAGAAGGCTTTTTGTAGGGCAGACTCATTTTGTCCTTTTGAGTCTCACCTCAAATGTCTCTTTCTTTTTAGAGCCTATACTGGCCACCTTTCCAGACTAACCTTCACTGTTGTGTTCTTATGCCATGACCCTCAATGGTTATGTCAATGAGGTGCTGGTAAATGTCTAGCTCTCAAGAAAAGAAGGGCAGCCCCAGTTGTAGCACTTACCAATATCTGTGGTGTGAGTGCCCTGACATGGCCATTTCCAGCTATCAGGTGACATCATTTATTGCTGAGTTGGGAAGCCATGCACAGTAGCACTTCATTGTTAGGCTCCTCTGCAGAAGCAGGATGTTTAATTACCTGCATTTAGCAACTACACAAATCAACTGTTTCTAATGTGTTTTTCAGTTGTACACAGCTTTGGTATCTCTGATGTCTTAGAGAATATGTCTACCATATGGATATAAATCACTTTGAGAAAATAGTGGGAAAACAGAAAGAAATAATGAATTGATGGATTTTGAGTTCTTATTTTATTTATTTTAGTATTAATTATAATTTTATAAACTTAATTTTAAATAATGGCCAGGTTTAATAACCTGGCTCACAACTTCACTAGAAATTGAATGATCTGCTTTCACATGCCTGTGTGAGCCAGCTCCAGCACCCCACTGGAGGTGATCTCTGGGTGGACACTGACAACTAACTCTCTGCCCTGTAGTGTTTGGCTTATAAACAAAGGAAGGAAGACAGTCGGCAGAGATGGGTGGATTTCTCTGAGAGTTCTTACTTCCTTTAAATATACTATCAAAGAAAATGGCATGAGTGTCTCCTATCTTGATATATGTGACTTGGTTCAGTGACTGGACAAGAGAATGAGGTGGCAGCAGTGAGAAATAACGAAATCACAGAGAGGGAAGAGCAGTGGAAATAACTTTAACCTTCCACTTAGGGTAGTGGAACATCTTATTGCCAGAGTTGGTTTTACATCCCAGAGTGCTTGGTGGTCAAGGGCACTTCATTTTCAGAAAATTAGCCCAGGGCCAGAAGTCCCTCATGCCTATTTTAAGTCACTCTGGTCGTAGTCAGCTAGACCACTTGCCACTTCACATTTGTCTGCATGTCTGTTGTGGGATGTAAATGAGCCCCCAGATGGTGTCTGAACCAAGCCCGTGGAACTCTGGGGACTCAGAGCAGATGACTGAGGGGAGGTGACAACTCAGGGGTGAGGAATCTGATTGTAGGGAGAATGAGGGAAGAAGCCACACTGGAGATGTGTAGATAGAGGCAACCCTGCTAGTTTAGATAAATAGGTGATTGATATAGAAAATATATTATTATTAGTACTTACCATTTTTTAGTTTATATAGCCACAATGAGAAATCATGAGCTCCATCTTTCAAATTTTGGGGATATGGTGAATGTCTTGTCCTTTGCAACCAACAAAGACGAGAGCAACAAAGATAGTCAGCTCTTTTCTCTAACATTGGCTGGAGTTTCTAGATCCTTCACTCATATCATACCTCACACAAATCCTTATAAATCAACAGAATCAATCCTAGAATGGTTAATGTTGTCCCCAAATCAGAAATGGTATCACTTAAATTACCAAGATGGAAAAGGACATCTTTTACAGATTAGGTCAAATAACCTTCAGTGTGCCCACATTCAGTGCCTGAAACTGTTCTAGGCCCCAGGCTATAGGGATTAAAGGTACAGACTTGACATTCAGGTGGGTAGGGGAGAAACAAAGAAAATAGAATTCTAAGCAGTACTTGTGAGTCATGATAGAGTGGTCTTGAACTCCCGATGGAAGCAGGTTAACTAAGAGCTTCCTGAAAATGACATTGCTTTTATATTGAAGTGTGAATGGAAGTTATTTATGAAACAGGGGAGTTAGAGATATTCTGGGGCTGGTGAGCCCTGTGAAAAAAGAGAAACACAGTGTACATACTAGGAACTGTAGAAATCGTGGGGTACCTGGAGCTTAAAATTGAAGACAGAACTTTGTAAGTCTGTCTCTTCATTTCCAGGGAATCTGTAAGGAAAATAGGAGTGAAGACAAGAACTTCAAGAACAAGAACTTCATAATTTTACTGGAGGCTGCTTTTCCCATTATTGTCTTCTTTTGGGAGTTTGGTGATCTAATTCGGGTGGTGGTGTTTTCATGTCAACATTGATACTTGTTAGAGGATTGACACTCATCTGTGTCCTCTCATGTGTAATATGTCACTCTGTGTCTTGTTATAGCTGCTGCCTATCCATACTCTGAGGCTTGGTGTGGAAGTGGATTCCTTTGATGGGCACCATTACATTTCTTCAATTGTTCCTGGTGGTCCTGTTGATATGCTGAACCTTCTACAGCTAGAGGATGAGCTTCTTGAGGTAAAGTTTATGTGAGGAAGAAAGATACCAAGCACGAAATTTTTAAATTCTAGGCAAATGTGTCCACTGAGTTACAGTGTCACCAATGCCAATGTAATGTGAACCTTTTAGATTGGAAAACAGAGTAAATTGGATGACAAAAGGAAACCAATTTCACTCCATCAGTTCATTTTTGCCATATGCTAAGGCTCCTAAGAGGTCCTTTTTTTTAAAAAAAAATAATTTTTAAAAATTCTTTTTAGTTATACATGATAGTAGAATGTATTTTGATATTATACATTATATATGGAGTACAGCTTCCCATTCTTGTGGTTATACATGATGTAGAGTTACACTGGTCATGTATTTATAAATGAATGCAGGAAAGTTATGTCCATTTTATTCTACTGTCTCTCCCATCCCCCTTAGCTTCCCCTCATTTCCCTCTGTTCCAATCTGGTGAATCTCCACTTATCTCTCCCCTCCACCTATTTTTGAGTCAGCATCCACATATCAGAACATTTGTCCCTTTTTTGGGGGGATTGGTTTATTTCACTTAGCCTGATAGCCTTCAGTTCCATCCATTTACTGGTAAATGTCATAATTTCATTCTTCTTTATGGGAGTGTAGTCCATACATTTTCTTTATGCATTCACTGAGATATCCTTTTTAATGTGTATCAAAATGATGTACTAAGAAAGGAGTTTGACAGCATAATTTGTCTTTTTCTAAGCAAAATGTTAAGAATCCAATCCCTGACCCTAGGTCTTTGCAACACGTAGTCACATTTATACATTGATAATTTCTAATAAGGATTAGAGCTGAACAACTTCAGGCACATGTACAGTTGACTTACATGTAGATGCTTTTGGGATAGTCTGCTTAAAACTCCCTGTCCACAGGGTGGCCTCCAGTGGGTTTGCTCAGGCTCCCGAGCCTCTCCTCAAAGAAGTTCTATAGTAGCTTTGAAATGATTTTCCCTAGAGATTTAAATAATTGGAAAATTCAGTGTTAACAAACAAAATAATCACAAAACCCCAACTTTTACAGATAAGAAAACAAGATGCTAACTCCCCAACTTCATACACAAAATTAGTGGTAGAGTGTTAACTTTAGCTCATGTTTCCTAACTCCTATTTCATTGTTGTTGTTTTTTTTTCAAATACAACATACTATCTCCTGAGCTCCTGAAAGAGATATAGGAACAGCCAAGCAAGAAGACTACAGAGAAGAAGGTTATTTCAAGAGTTAGGATTTACAACAGCCAGGCACTGTGGTACACTCCGATAATCCTAGCAGCTTAGGAAGCTGAGGCAGGAGGATGGCGAGTTCAAAGACCAGCTTTAGCAACTTAGTGAAACCCTGTCTCAAAACAAAACATAAAAAGGGGTTGGGATATGGCTCAGTGGTTAAGCGCCCCAGGTTCAATCCCTTGTTTAAAAACAACAACAACAAAAAAACCTAAAATCAACCTAATAGCCTTATCCAAGATCAGACTCTCATGGACCCTGACTTCTATTTAAAATTTATGTTTGCTCAAAGCGAAATGAGAAGGATGGTACATGGTTTTCATGATGGGTGCAATTACAGTTTGTTTGTAATGTCCTCCCACCTAAGGGAGTATATTGAGAATTCTGGGTTGAATTTCAAGGGAAGAGTGCTTTGACTGGTTATCAACTTCTGACATAGTGTTGGAGGACAGGGTGTTGGAGTCCTTTTTTTGAGATGTGGAAAGTTGCTTATTTTTTGAATTTAGATTTTTTACTGATTCAAAACATTAAAATTTTACACGTGGGGTGGGCATGGTGGTACACATCTGTAATCTCAGTGGTTTGGGAGGCTGAATCAGGAGGATCTCATGTTCAAAGCCAGCCTCAGCAATTTAGCAAGACTTTGTCTCAAAAAAAAAAAAAAGTTAATGGGGCAACAAGTGATGTTTTGATAGATGTATACATTGTATAATGTTTGTCAGATTCAACATATTTATCTCCTCAAGAGTTGGTCATCTTAGAGGTGTTGACAAGTGATCTTGGTCTACTTATTATAGATTCATGCCCTCAGTTTTACTAGATGATTTAGCTTTCTTTCTGATGCTGGGATTGGGTCTTCCTCTGCTAGTTGGCAGGATATGGGCAATGAGGATTCCTCAATCTGTGGATTGAAGGCTATTGCTATCATATGTAGTTGTTAGGTGGTGAGAAATGAGATATGTTTGGGAGGTGTGAGGCATGAGTTAAACCAACTTAGTTAATTTTATTATTTTAGGTAATAAAGTTTATGTCACAGAAAATTTATCATTTTAACTTTTTAAATGTAAAATTTAGTGACACAAAGTATTAATCACTACTAGTAAGTGATCTGGGCTAAAGAAACCTTGGCTGGATTGGGATCGAGCAGGTATAGGTGATCCCAGCCATCAACTGAAGGTTCCATGCTTCAGCTGAGATTAGAATGCATGGGCCTTCCACCCCAAAATGTTGTGTTTTGAATTTTGAAATACAGATTTCTGATGAAGGAACTTAGGGTAGGGAAGGAAACCCAGGTTTGAAAGTCAGAATAGCTCCTTTGGGTTCTGAATTTGCCACAACTTGCCCTGTGTCTCTTGGCATGTAAGTTAACTTTTTTTAAAAATGTATTTTTTAGCTGTTGATGGACCTTTATTTAATTTATTATTTATATGCAGTACTGATAATAGGACCCAGTGCCTCCCACATGCTAGGCAAGTGCTCTACCCCTGAGCCACGACCCCAGCCCATCACTTAACATTTTGAGGAGTCCATTTCTTCATTAAATGCCATTTCACTGTGTGTTTGTAATGATCTAACAAAATGCCATCCGTGTACCTTACTGTGAAGAGCTGGCCTCGGTATCCTCATGACGAAGTCATGTTAACAAGCTTGGGGGCTGAGATGAGGATTGAAGGTGGTAGTACAGGGTGACAGCACTTGGGCAGAATTTTGTGTTCTGGAAGTGTGTATACACATGTGCATTTTTCTGATGAAAAGAGTTGGATAATTGAGACTTTACAGCTTTTAAGAAGGTCTCAAGTTGAGGGACCTTGAGAAATATTGTGAATTTTAAAATAATAATTGGCTGCTTCTGAGTAACTGAATATAGACATAAAAGGCCTCTGTAAAATTAGCCAAATAAAGTCCTTGACTTGTGTGTGTGTGTGTGTGTGTGTGTGTGT